ATTTAAGCAAAGGACGAATTATTAGTTTTGCACCCGCAAGAGGGGAAAAGGAAATTACTAAAAAAATAAGGCAATAATATATAACAATCTCACCCTCCACTCACTTCACCCGACAAAAAAGGTCCCAAGAACAAGGGAGTTTTTTATTTATCCGGCATAAATAGCGTAAACTTGACCTTACTGGTTATTTTTTTCTAACCAAACGTTAGCAGCGTAATAATATAAATTTGGTTAATAGAAAATAAAATTTGAAAAGAAGAAGAGCGGTTAAGAACCAAAAAAGTTTTGCCAATACAAATACTATTGGTGATAGGAATAATTTTGCTAGGAGTAGTTAGTTTTTATTTGTGAAAAAGAAAAAACAAAAAATCAACTAACCAAGAAAACTAATTCTAAAGAAGTTTAAATCAAAAAGCGGACATTAATTATGAAAAGAGTAGTATACCTAAACTTTTTAGCACCTTGTAAAAATCAACAATTCCTTTTTAGAAAATAAAATTGTTAGACCCACAAATTATTTTTTTGGCGACCAAAAATCAAAACAGTTAAGGAAATAATGTTAATAATGAAAACGACAAATATACTTCTGATGCAAAATAATCAACTGAGAAATAACTTATAATGCTTGTTAAGCAAGTGCAGAGATATTACGAGAAAACTAAATACATTGCTAATTGCTACCCAAAAAAGTAATTTTTTATCATTCATGTCTTTTTAATATGGCTGGGGTGGCTGGGATTGAACCAACGATCAAGGAGTCAAAGTCCTTTGCCTTACCACTTGGCTACACCCCAAAAAACATTACTTGGCTTGGGCTCGCTGTTGGTTAATTTTATTTTTTGCCAAGTAAATATCTAATAATTCCCCTTTACTTATTCGTAATTTTCAATCTACTATATAGGCAAAAATTTCTAATCACTTATAATAAGTATTTTTGGCTTCCTCATTAATCTCCTTGTCTTCCACATTATAAAATTCTTGGTTTTTTTCTATGTATAAATCATTAGTTTTAGCAAAAAAATCTAAAAGCAATTCATTAAAAGGTAAATCTTTTCTTTCATACTCAACATCCCACAGAAAATCAGAAAAATCTATTTTGTAAATATTAACCAAACCTAAAAAATAACCCAAGCAATCAATTAATTCCTCTTTGGCTTTGGTTCAATCAATATCAGTTTTCTTTCGTCAGGCTTTAAAAGATTTTATTTCGTTAGCAAATTCGCCTACTTCTACTAACAGGGCTAATTTTAACCTTTTCGCGTTAAATTGCGAAACTCATTTTAAACCGGTAGGGCTTTTGGCAACAATAAGTTGGTCCAATTCCTCTTGTTTTGTGCTTAATAATTTTCAATCCTCCTTGGCTATCATAATAATAAAATGTTTTACTACTAAATCAGAAACAGGCTATTTTAACCTTTTTTTCCGTCGCGGAGGGATTAAAATGCTTTACCATGCTACGAGCATAATATTTCCGCCTTTTTGTTTAAAACAGGTTTTTTGGTTTAGACATTACAAATTCTTCTATTCTTCCCAATAAACCACATTAGAAATATGGATAGGCACCATAACCTGTTTTGGTTGGCTTTTTTGACGACTTTCAGCCGTGGACTTATCATATTTTTGCCGAAAGGCTTTTTTTAAATAAACCACTTGTTTGTGCGGGTTAATCTGGGAAATATAATCCACCAATCCCCGAAATTTACCAGTAATAACTTTTACCGTATCACCACTTTTTAATTGACTTTTCCTCATCTTTATAATTTTTTAATTCTTTTTTTTT